TTTCTCTTTAGACGCTTCTGACGCTGTCTGTGGTTCAAGAGTGGCTTGACACAAGGAATGCGACAGCAGAAACCCATGTCTTTCATACGTCTGTGTGTGGTGGTTCTTGAAGCACTCACTCCAGCTGCAGTCCACTCTTTGTGAATCTCCCCCACATTTTTGAAGGGGTTTTGTTTCACAATCCTCTCCAGGGTGCGGTTATCTCTCTTGCTTGTACACTTTTTTCGACCACATCTTTTCCTTCCCTTCGCCTCTCTATTAATGTGCTTGGACACTGAGCTCTGTGAACAGCCAGCCTCTTTAGCGATGACCTTTTGTGTCTTGCCCTCCTTGTGCAAGGTGTCGATGGTCGTCTTTTGGACAACTGTCAAGTCAGCAGTCTTCCCCATGATTGTGTAGCCTATAGAACTAGACTGAAAGACCATTTAAAGGCTTTTGCAGGTGGTTTGAGTTAATTAGCTGATTAGAGTGTGGCACCAGGGGCCATCAATTTTGAACCTTTTCACAATATTCTAATTTTCTGATATGATGAATTTGAGATTTTCATTTGTTGTCATTTGTAATCATCAAAATTAAACAAAATAAACATCTGAAATATATGAGTTTGTATGTAATGTATGAATATAATATACAAGTTTCACTTTTTAAATGGAATTACTGAAATCAATCTACTTTTTCATGATATTCTAATTTTATGACCAGCACCTGTATTGTTATGCTGAGGTTCATTTGTTCCATCTCACAGGGCTCCAATTTTCCAGGGCCCTTCATGTTTCAAACAGGAAAGATTCTCAGTCGAAAACAGAGCCAAGAGCTTGAGCCAATGGAAATGTGTTAACATATGCGAATGCTGATCATGTATAGGGCCCACACTCCTTAGACAAAAGAGAAGAGCAATCCTTTGACTTGGCTGGGGTGCCTGGGAATCTGAATGAGTCATACTGTGGCGGGAGATGAGCCTGCTGCAGTGTGTTTGTAAAATTAGATTAATCCATTATGGCATTTGCGACCTTCCATCAAAAAGGGAGAGGAATGTGTCCAAGTATGTGCAATTATATGATTTACAATATCTTAATAACAGACAAAAACAGTGATATATTCTGCAGTACCCCTTTTGGATTTTTAACAAGGTAAAATATGAAGGCATTATATATCAAGTGATCATACTCTGGCATATTTTTAAATATACCCTTAAATATTCCGCACTACTGAATTACAAACATCTCCTGCAAGGCCACAAATAATTACACAGGCTCAGGTTTTTGCAAATAAACATAAAAATGTCAGCAGTAGGATAAACCTGCTATGTTCAACCTATGCCATTCAAGTCTTCCTGAGCTGGCTTTTCTCTTCTTGAACTGCACCGTACGTCGCTGCAGAGAGCTGACTAATGAGCCAGTCAAGAGAAAACGCCCTTTACCTACAAGGTTAATAAGTTATTACTATATAATCAAGCATGTGAAACTCCCTACACTATTAAGTTTTATTTCCTTAACTCAAGTGTTGCAAAGCTGACAGTAAACACCCTGTGACAAATGAATGTGTTTTGCTTGATCATTATATTATTTTTTTATATTCATCCAGTTATTATAGCTTCCGGATAACAGTAAGTTAGGTCCATCACTAAGTGAAATCCTTCTTTTATAATGTTGAGTAAAGACCAGTCCTCTTATAAGGCATACAACCATATATCTTTCTAAATATGCTTATGCCTGTTAGAGCTGTCAGAGAGCATCACCTTAAGAACCCCCTCAAGTATGGTTGCCAACAAACAAATCCTGATTCACAGCACCAAACAGGGAGGACACACTTAACACACCTGGAAACTACAGTAGTAGCCATTAAAAATGTCGCCACTTTCTTTGATGGGCCCTTGGCTGAGCCTTGGCTGGTCCCCTAAAATTAATTTTTAAACATCAATCTTTGTACAAAAATATTCTTTCTGACATGATTGGTGGACATTAAGATCTAAGGAGAAGCCCTGTAAATCAATGAAAGTGTGGAGTCAGTAAAACAATATGCATGGCAAGGAGAAGGAGGGGGTCACTCCGCTGGCTGGAAGTTGGAGGGGATTTTAATTGGAGTGACAGGAAAGTGAGCTTACATTCGGGTGGCGTTTGACTGGGAATGGCCATTTTGAATGGCTGCTACTCTAACATCCTTTTAACCACACAAAGGCATAAAAAAAAAAAAATTCAAAGCACAGAAAAATAATAAGGAAGTCCCAGACCTTCCTTTCTGATGTTGCCCTGGGCAACCACCCCAAAATTTCTCACGTTGGAAATAAATACAAAAAAAAGAAAAGAACAAAAACTTAATGTCTGGAGAATAGTTGGTCAAATAGTAAAATGAAAAAAAACTATTTAAAAAGCTGATATATTAAAGTTTTAATCAGCTATGGACTATAAAAACACTCAAAATTGATATACAGTCTATAATCCATTTTGTGAAAAAGTGTACGTTTTTTCCCCACCATTATTTTATAAAATAATAACTTTTAGCCTTATACAAAATATTGCGTTGTGACAACCAAGTTATTTGATATACCATATTGGCCTGGATATAAGAAGGTTATTTTTTCAAATACACATAGAATTGTCAGCAGTAGGATAAACCTGCTGTATTCAACCTATGGCAAGTATTGGCCTGGTATAAGACACATTATTTTTTTTTTTTCGTTAAAAACAATGTGAAAATGTGGGATCGTCTTATAATCGGGGTCTTACCAATTATACAGGCTGACAATTGTCTGGGGTCGCTACACGAACGCAACAGCAGGGGGCAACAGTTTTTTCTAAAGCCAGTGACCTCACTGTGGCTGGGGTCATCTTTCTATCACCGCAGAGGATGCTAGAAATGGAGAGTCACTCCCCAGACTGTAGTGGATCACAAGTTGGACGAGTTTGTAGACATCTGAGACAGAATTATGACGTCAATTTTAAAATAACGGCGGTCAATGCAGCGGGGGCATCAAATGACTCTCAGGCAACAAATAATACGGTGCTACAGAGTGCAATGTCAGAAGATGGAGTGTTAACAAACACTAGAAAAATGCAAACAGCAAAAGAAAAGCTTATCAAAAAAATAGCAGAGCTGCAGGGCGAGAGTAGGAGTGACAGCCAGTGGAGAGGGACAAGAGACACATGTGAGTAAAATCCAGGTTTTTTAAATGTTTCATGAGCAAAGTTTAGATTGCATTCCAGTTTTGTCAGTACTGTGTTTTTTTTTTTTACTTTTAAGTGTTTAATTGCACAAATGTTCCAATGCAATATTATGTCAATTCAATTGTCAGCACTTCAATATAGTTTCTTTCAACACTGCAAAAACAATCTAGAAATAAGTAAGAGATTCTTAAATTAAGTGTATTTACCCTTAATTTCAGTAGGTAAACAAGATGATCTGCCAATGAAATTATTATTTTTACTCTTAAAATAAGATAATTATATAATATGCACTTGAAATAAGACAATGTAATTGTTTTTTCTTTTTTTAAAGTAAATTGTCTTGTTCCATTGGCAAAGTGTCTCACCTACCTCCTCAATTCAAGATAAAATGCACTTATTTTAAGAAAAAATGACTTATTAAGATTTTAATTTTTGGAAGTGAACCAAATTTTAGTTTATAAGTGGGGTTTTTTTTTTCTTCTTGTACCTAAAAACTGTTATATTATAACTTATATTCAGGTCAGTACGGTAAATAAAAAAAATAAAAAAACATTGCAAGCTATAACTGTCCAGTGAATGTTACCATAGAATCAGACTAATAAATTTACATAGACATCCAATTGCATGTGTTCTTCTTTACTGAAGAAAAGACAGGAAACAAAATATTGAGTGAAGGTTAGCTGTCTAAGTTTAAGGGACCATTACAGACAGAACAACATTTAAAGCCATTCTAACAAAGGAAAATCCCCTGTTAACTGAAAGTGCTCTCTCCATTGTAGCAAATATGTGTTGCCCCTTAATTTGCTTCTCAAAGGCAGAAACTGGTGAAAAAGCAACGGCGCTCATCCAAACCAAATCTCAAGACTCTACTCTGTGTGATTACACAATAACTCTGAGCTGACTGATTGTCTACCTCCTGAAACTGCTGCCAACACGACTGAATAGAGAATTGTTGTACTGTTCCCCATGTTTCTATTCATGGCGGCTGCCACATCGAAGGGGAGAGTGCTAATGGTGTGGAATAGTAATAGCTAAACTCCCTCAGATTTCAGCTTCTGAAACACAAGGAAATCTGTGCTGAAAGCTACTGTTCAAGAGCACATTATTTCCTCCATTCCTTTTAACAAAAGGTCCTAAAACACACAAGTGTTGTCAAATAAGAAATAAGATTGCACTTCTATCCTGAAGAGAGATGTGTTTTCAAGTTGCTCTTGCTGCGTGAAATAAAAACAGATTTCTACATCACAACTTGCCGTTTTCTTTCTAGGGGATCACAAAACCACCTCCATGTTGATGAAAGCCACTGGGAAACCAGAAGTGTTACATGTATTCTGACTCAAACAACTGCACTCCTGCAACCTTCTGTTATTTAAGAGGAAAGATAGCATAAGTCTATTTTTTTTTCACTTTTATCTAAGCACCTTTCTGACTGTTCAATCTTTCGCTTATGTCAAGCATTTCACTTCTTTCTGTGAGGTTTTCAGAAAACAAAAACTTGTGAGGGCCAAAGGAATATGGACTCACCAATGGTACCATGTGGCTTATTGCCCTCAAATGAGAAATAAAAACTAATATAACATATAAAATGAGGCAATGATGCCTCATAGGCACAGAAAAGGCTCTGCGGAGCCTCAACCAGCTAGCTTTTGGCTGTATATTACTTCATTAGAAGTCTACAGGAGAGGACTTTTACAGAGCTCTACATATGCCTACAGGGATGCAAGACAATGTTATTTACTCCGTTTTACAGACATGCTGCAGGCAAAATAATTCCTCTGAAATGGTGGCAGATTCTAAGACATTGCTTGCTCCATTTTGATTTTGAGAAAAACATACCTTAATACACAGGAGTAATAGCCCACATCATCCAGTTCAGCTGGTCGGAACCATATAGAATCCTCTTCTTTGCTCATTCTTGTGCCATCGAAGCTGATGGGTTCCTCAAAGTCCCCGTGCACTGCACTTTTGTACCACATAAGGCTAAGTCCTGTGCTCTGCGCATGGCTGTAGTTTGCCCGGATATATCCATAGAATAAAGCACACTTTATCCGGACAGGCTCCCCAACAAGGACTTTGTACTTTAGGTAGTCCACTGACCAGTCTGTGCAGCCTTCCACTGAAAAGGAATAAAAGAAAGAAATTAAAAAGCAGTCATGGACTCATTAGTTGACTAAGACTTCATACTTAGCACTGTTATAATCCAATTTCCATGCCAAAAACTATCAGACAGTACCCAAAAAAATTTATTGCAATATTTTCTGGCACAGATAGAACCTCCTTAAAACAAAACAAAAAACTCCAGCATATGATATAAAATCTGTCAATGTGTGATTTTTGATATTAGTTCTGGAATTAACATGTTTAAACTCTTAATACTGCCATGCAGCTAAATCCACAATTAAAATTTAAAAACATATGTACAGTTATTTTTAGCTGCTTCCATTCATTGACTTTATGTTTTGCAAAATTCTTTAGTGGCATCCAATAAAATGCTTTTGACATTTTACCTTCTGCATGAATTATTCTCAATTCCATATTTACAGACTGTAGTGACATATTTAAATCTAGATAAAAAGAAATCCCTTAATCCTGTTCTTTCTCCTAAAATCGAGACTATCAAACATTAGCAAATACTCTGCTACATCTTAGTGCAGTCAGATCTAAAAGCTACTGGTGCCCTTCTTTAAGAGTATCTCAACAAGCTCACACCTATCAGTAAAACTGCTTTGAAGATAAAGTTCTAATTGAATTTATAATACAGAGCAGATATGAGAATGGCCTCCCTGATACCTTTTCATCCAAGTGAGATATATCTACTTTAATCTTCGCAGAGCTCACTCACACAAACGGTCATTGTATGACATGCCGATTTATATCTCTTTAGGCATTCAATGTCTAAAATAGTTGGGATATTGTTCAGTTACTTAAAAAGTCCAAAAAGAAACAGCTTTAAGGTTTTTTTGAGGTGTGTGTTGCAAGGCAAGCTTGGACCTCGGCTAATAGCCCCATGCTCAAGCAAAGTTTTCTGGTATCGCCATGCTGGTCCACATCTAAGTGGGAAGCAATCACTATGGTAACCTTTACAGGCAGAACCTGCCCTAGAGATGGTTTCACTTTGGAGACCCAGATCAAAAGGTAGATATCTAGTAGAACATCAAGAATACCGACCTGTTCAAGGAGAATTTTAATATAGATGTAGAGTTACTGTAAAATATGGTTTTATAGATTAAACACTTGTTAGTGTTATATTTTCTTTTTAACATTTCCTTTGAGCCAAATACATCTATGAAGCACATTCAAAAGCAAACGTTGGACCAAATGGTGTACAATCAGCCCTGAAAACCAAAGAAAACATGAAAAAGTAACTGAAATGCATAACATCAGAGAAAAAAAAAAAAGAAAAAGACATATATCCGTATCCTTTACGGTGTGTTCAGAAGCTTCCCTGTTCAGCTGCCTCCGGGCTTTATCAGCAAAAACATATTCTCCTACAGCATGTAAACCAATCTACAACAGCCTTAATGGAAAAGAAACAGTCCTATCATCTTCCTCTAAAGATGGGGTGAGGAGATCAGAGATACAAATGGATTTCAAACCATACACAACTTTAGGAACTAAAGTATTTTTAAATTAGTTCTTTGAATCACCCATGTACTTAAAAGGACTAATTTCCAGTCAGAACATATGGCCTGCTGCAGAAAAGTAAACAGACCTACTAATGCTTATTTAATTCTGAGGTGATTTGGGAGTAAAGTACAGCAATATGTGTCATATCAACTGTAAACTATTGTTTGTTTATTTAGTCATTCATCTGTTGAAAGTTGTTAGGAATTCAGCATTTCACAATTTAAATGAAGATTAGAACAGAAACCTAAAGGTTCTGAGTAATAAAGAGTCCGTATAAATCTGCAAATAGTATTTAGGCCCAGTAAATGATATTTTGGGCTAAAAATGCACTTTGTTTTCCTTGTTTCAGCACTGGCTGACATGTATGTAAGTTTACCGATTCATTAACCCATTCAGTAGCCACGCCTTGAAATGACATGAGCACATAACGCCAATTTCTCCATTAACTATCGATTTAAAAAAGGTTTTATAAATCAAAAATGTTTACTTTTCGTTTAAAATTAGAGGTTTTTTTTTTATCACCGTTTCTTTTATGTTCATGTATTTGGAGAAAGAAAAAGCAACCCTGGATTCAAGAATCAACCCCAACCAAATCAGCAGCACATACCAAGGAATGGTATACTTTAGGGATGCCACAATTTAAAGCAGCTACTAAAGAACAAAACAATCCCCTGTAAAAATAATTGGTTCTGCCTGATAAATTACATAAACACACCTTTGTTCCAGAACACGTTGAAAAAAAACAATTTTACCATACTATCTAAAGCCTGTACTCAGACCCAAAAACAGCAATATAGTTGACTTAAAATCATCCAAAGCAGGAAGTTAGCCTTTATAATTAAACTCCAGTCCTCTAGAGCCAGTGTCCAACAGCTCTTACTCTAGATGCAGCTCTGCTTCTAAACACCTAAATCTAATCCAAGCTCATTAGCAGAGCTCTGTAGAACTTGACTGTAGACTACTAAGGCAGACATTTGATTCAGATGTGCAAGGCATGACATGCAACTAAAACTTGCAGGAAACAGGCCCTCAAGAATTTCAGTTTAAGCGCACTTCTTTGCAGACCTGTGCTTTAAAGCTTTAAGTATGGGAACCTAGGTATTTTGTTTTTTCTCTATTTCCTTTAATTATGTTTCATAAGCCCTATACTTGGCCATGTAATAGTCTTTTGTGTAGTGTATAAAAATGCCTTTTATCTCCATTTAACAATCTATATTTAGACTGAAACTGATCATTTAGAGAGCCCATAGATGAGAGCGGTGCAGTAGGTACCACTGCCTTGCAGCAAGAAGGCCCTTGATTCGATTCCTGGCCCAGGGTCTCTCTGCATGGAGTTTGCATGTTCTTCCTGTGCATCCTCCCACAGCGCAAAAACATGACTGTTACTGGGCTTCTCTAAATTGTCCTTAGTCTGAGTGTGTGCATGGTTGTGCGTCTCTGTGTTGTCCTGTGACAGACTGGCGACCTGGCCATGGAGTACCCCACCTCTCGCCCGTAGACTGCAGGAGATAGGCACCGGCTCGACCGTGACCGTGACCCTGACAATGACTAAGTGGTAGAAAATGGAGTGGTTAAGATACAGCACCAAAGTTATGGTTGAGTTTCCTACTAAGCAGGCAACTGCAACATGTATTAGCTGAGAGTTTAAGGGTTCCCACCCTGTTCCAGCATCAAAAAGAATGCCAGCAACCATCCCGTTTTTGGTAGAAAAACTACACAGTCTTGATTCTACAATGTCAAAGACATTTCCGTCTCTAGTTTTGTCACAAGCTACAGAAGAACAACTAGAGCTTTATTGATCTTAATTAGAGAAACTCAAAACCGTGACATTTCCAGATAGATTGTTACAATTGATGTAATTCTTAAGTTCTCAAAATGACTCTTTCCAGCCAAACTGTTTCTCTTTTCCTCCATCCGTTTAATAGGTTAATTTAATGAATGGTAATTGAGTCTACGTTCTAATTAATATCAGGGAACAGAAAAACAAAAGCATCAGAATAATTCAATATTGTTTATTTAAAAAATGTAATTAGCTTTGAGACATTTTGAATGTTTACTAGACGGTTGTTGCATAACTCTTAAAAAAAGATTATAGGCACCAGGGATGAGAGAGGATTTAAACATCCTTTCCCTTACTTCACCTTGTTTCCTGGCCTTTGAATGAAAACATCTGGTAGGCACAGCTGTGTCACACTTTTACAGCCGGCTTTGACAACTGAGCTTCTACAGATATTTCATTCCTGAAACAGGCAGCTTCCCTGCCAATCAGAGGGGTGGATTGCACACTGCAGTCATTGAGGGTGTTTCTGTTGAAGTACTTAACAGCGCATTTATGTTTTGCGTGGGATTTTAAATGTCATGTAGAGAATAGCAGGAATGATGTATGTTTGTGTTTTGCGTGGTGGTGTGAGGAAAATAAAAGAAAAACAAGACAAGAAATGTGGCCTAATTGGAAAATAATTGATTTAGGGAAGGAGCATTTTTAGTTTAGTAGTAGATGATCTAGTTTTACTCACATACACTCATCGCAGACACAAGTCATTGTATTTTTTTGGCTTTTAGTTGATCGGAATATTTCTCCTGATAAAAAAGAACAAATAAGCTTTACAACATTTGCTGCAGAGGTTGGGATTTCTGTAACATAGGAAAAAACGTTTTGAAAAAGATAAAGCGAGCAAACATTTAGCTTCTGAGAAGGCCTAGAACTAAAGCAAATAGAAACCTGTTGGGTTTATTCTGGTGAACGGTTGAGTCTGTGTTAGGAATTCGTCCAGTTTTAATAGGTCGTTTTCAAACTTTCTACCCAAACTGCCTAAAACCTGCTCATTGCTACAAAGATTTCAACAAAATTTCAATATCAGAGGAAGTTCTAGAGAATGGCGTAACAGATTCTTAATTCTATAAATAAACCACAGTTTAAGTGCTTTAATCAACCTGACAATTGATTGTTTCAAATAAATTAAAGCCTCAGATGAATATGGGATTATTTTAATGATCAGTGAACATAAACTTACTTAAAGTATTAAGTAATTAATGCAGTAATAAGATAAGGCTTTTAAAAATATGCTCTGCTGAATTGCGGAATTGATCTTCTGTTAAAATTCTAAATTTCCAAATACTACTTTAAAGGTATAGAAGACACTCTTATTTCAGGATGGATCATCTAAATAAGTGGTCCTCCTAATTGTCAGTCATTCTGGTTATATGTTTACATAAGGCTGTCCTACGTGCTCGTCCCCAGTTAGCTATCTTTTTCTGCGCAGGCATACTATCAGGCATAGATCTGTGGTGAGCTACGGTTTCAGACAGTCATTGAAGCTCACCTTTCTCACCGCGGTTCTTTAAAAATGGCAGAGGGTCGTAAGAGAAAAATTGTCTACGAAGTGTATGAGAAGAAAAGAAAGGCCTCAGAACAGGCAGATATAACGCTGAATGGTTTGCGCTAAGAACTCTCCTTGCAAAGCATTATGGGATTTGCTGGCACTGTGG